GAGTTATTTAATCTTACACTGGCCAAATAATGTCATATGGCAAAGTTGAAAATAAGAAACATTTAACTTTGATTTTGTACTGTATTCCTGCACTGGCAGCAACCAGATATACGGCCTCTCAAGGAAATGTGTTTGCATTGAATTCAGTATTTATAATGAATGGGGAAAGGGGGAAGTGACGTATGCCGTAAAGCAGTCTCGACATTTGCAGTGGTTTTGTGTGGCAGGGTTACTGCCACCACCTTTAAGGCCAATTCATGCTTCTGATGCATAGCCTTTGCAACTCCCACATCTGTCTCTGTGCAGAACCCCCGCGCAGAGGTTCAGCAGCCGTCGCGCACCTCAAAAAAAAAAAAACTTGGCTAAGTGTCGGACGGTTGCAAACTCGCGCAGACCTCAAGCGGAAGTGCGCAGACAAAAAGCAGCTGTGATTGGTCCTTGGTAGGCCTTCCTGGCTGTCTGTGTGGTCGTCCAGAGGTTCTGCAGCCGTCGCCGTGCACCTCAAAAAAGAAACTTGGCTACGTGTCCGATGGTCGCAGAAGTGCGCAGACAAAAAGCAGCTGTGATTGGTCCTTGGTAGGCCTTCCTGGCTGTCTGTGTGGTCGTCCTTCTCGATTTGGTGCCGGGGAACAATTACAATGGACAGCTACGACAAACGCTTAATCTGTCTTTTTGTCAACTCCATTAACAGAACCTGTTTCTCTTCGATGTCTATCAACTCTATATCCATCTCCATGACCGTGATATCTTGCAGATGAGTGAGTTCTCTTATAGGCTTCCCCTTGTGCTTTGGCGGGAAACTGCTGTGTGTCCCTAGAAATTCCAGACCAACGGTGCAGAAGCACACCAGCAAAACTGGTTTGCGACCAGATGCAAGCGACATTTGATATGTGGAAGAAATATAACCTGCCCTTTGAAGCTGCTTAGTGATCCCTCAGGGCATGATGGAGCTGAAATTCAACTAGTTACAAGTTCATGTATAAAATAAGTTATGAAAATATTTTATAAGGTTTTAAGAGTTACTTAGTGTTAGTTTAAGTTACATTTAATTAGACTAAAATCGCTGAAGTACCAGCACAATTCTACTGCAACTCGCACTAATTTTAAATGCAGAGAATCCCGACTGAATGTCGAGCTCTTCAGTATTAAGGTCCTGCATTTGCACAGCCATGTAAACCAACTTTTCCTCTGAAAGCCTTCCAATCAGGCCTGAAGGTTTGGCTCCAATCATTAACATTTCGTCGTTGCTACACTGCTGCTTTCCATCTTGCAAACTACTATCACTTCTGATTGCTTTGCTGATGCAAAGTTATGACAACCACAGATTAACAGTGACATCAAACTGGCATCAAATCCTCCTTGGTGGTTCCACTGGAATCACTTTTAACAATTTGAGATGCGTACGGAAGCAGTTTGCATGTCATTTTAAAAGACCTGGTTTGGGCCTGATCTGGGGTTCGCACTTCTTCTAATGAGTCTGACCATAAATCATAGCATATCATGGGAACCGCATGCTCTAGAGGTACCCAGTGTCTGGCCCCCATGGGTAAAGGTTTAAGCCTAGGTTCTAGGTTGAGAGCTAAGGTGTGAATTGAGCTTAAGTTAGGGTTGGGTATAGACCCATAATGGTTAGGTTTAGGGTAATGGTTACAGTTAGGCTGTAGACATGGGTTAGAAATGAATTTGAAGTCAACTGACAGTCCCAAAAGGATAGAGAAACTTGATTGTGTGTGTGTCTGTGTATTTAAATCCATGTATATATTTGTGTAATTCCACTCATCAAAATCATGTTTTTTTGTGTGTGTGTTTTTGGTAGGGATGCACGATATAATCGGCCCCATATATATCGGACATCGGCCACCCCACCGATATTTAACCCGATATTTGATCAGCTTCTGAGTTTCTAAAGTCTAAAAAAAAA